GGATAAGTGAAAAGGTCTTTTGGGGACCGAGGGGCTGGCAGGGACAAAGAAGTAATGGGGATAACACATCTTCTAGATAACATCGGGCCATCCTGTGTCCTACCTAGGCAACCAAGGGAAAAACACTAAGAGGATGCTTTTGCCATGCATGGAGCTTGTCTTCAGAGACACGCTTATGCTAGCTAGCAATTTGGGAGGGCTTGTCTGAAATCCCAGTTACAGGGGCTTATTTTTCAGGAATGTATCCTCATCGATAGCAGATCTCAAAGGTGTCTGCTGAACATCCAGGAAGGCAGCAAGTTAATTTAAAATTTTGACTGTCTGCCTTTAAGACAGCATGCTTTGCTTCTGCTCAGCTCAAGAAACCTTTGGCATCAGGGGAGTCTTTCCCTTGAAAGAGCCAAAGACACTTTGGAGCAGCCCTGAGGGCTGGAGAGAGATGGGCTTTTGGGCTGTGCTTCCCAAGGTATGTTATGTATAATTTTAGTTAGCTGTTGGCTCCCTTTTTCCAGGGAGAGAAAGGAGCTGGGCATGGCCTTGGCTCCATCTCGCTCTGCTGCAGCTTGAGGGGCTGGGAGTGACATACAAACCTTATGATGAGGCAGCAGGGTGACATGAGTGTAGTGGGGAGCAGCTCTTCCCACTCCCCTGTCTGCCACAATTTGTTCAAAGCAGCACACTACTGGCTTGGAGAAAATGCCTTGCCTCCAGCATTGCAGTGGAAGAGCTTGATTGTGGGGGTGGGAGAGAAAGGTTGCCTGAGATTTCTGGGGCTTGCAAATATGTTGGGGGGGGCTGCTCCCAAGAATGAGATGGGTGCATGCAAGCTGCAGGAGCTGGGATGCAGTGTGTGAAAGACAGTGTCCAAAAGGATGTGGAAACTCATTGCCATGACTGGCAGCAATGCAGGATGGACTCTTCACAAATAATGCAGGGTACCCTAGAACAGTCTTGAGCCAAGTAGGGCCATAAAGCTCTCAAGGGAGAGAAGAAAATAGTTCCCACCTCAGCACTGCTACAGAGCAGAGATGAAGTTTACTCCTTGTGTTGCCAAATCTCTTAGGAATGTATTCTTGTTTTCATCAGCTACACTTCCCTTATTACTACTTTAAAAAGCATTTTGCTCCTTAATTATGTACACATGCATGCATGTGCACCTCTCCCTTCCCTTGTGGCCATGGCAAGTACCTGTCCTTCCCCAAAGACCCCGAAGTCAACCTTCAGCCAGCACCTGGGCTTCATGCAGCTGCCATCCAGTGAGGGGAAATTTTGCCAGGGGATCTGCACTGCCTTCCTGAACTGCGCCTCTGGATTTGTTAAGTGTGTGTCTGTGCCTCTGAAAGGATTTGAGCCATTCTGGTGCTCTGCACAGTTTTCCCATTTGCAGTAAATGTAGTTGAAACAAAGAAGGTGACAGTGCCCCCCTGGAGTGGACTTCCACGGCACACTGCTGTGCTCTCCTCAGGGCAAGAGCCTGAGAGCTTGCTGCATGCTGTGGGACCCGATGTGTTAAAAGCACGTGCTTTAATCTGCGTGGGAGGTCACAGATGACTGAGTGTTCAGGTCATCTAGTGCTTGTGTGCCTTGTGTCAAATTTCATGGAATAAGTCAAGCAAGTCAGTATTGTGGGTTTTGCCCCCCCTTATTTCCCTCCTAGAGCTGGATTTGAAAACATGTGCATGGGGATCTGCTAGTTAGAGTCTCTCATGCATATTTGCCACAGGGGACCCTGGATAAACAGCCCTTGCAGTGACACTTTTCCCTTTTGTGTTTCTAGAAAGCTGACAGCGTGTGTGGGTAAGCCGGGGGTTTCAAAGCCCCTGTGAATTAGGGGCTGAAATTGGACTCAGGCCCGAACAATGGCGCATTCAGCGGCTGACGTGGTTCCCTTCTTGGCTCAGGGTTTTGCTGACAGATCATAAATAAAAACCACTCAAAGAGATTTGTTTTGTGTTTCTCTGCTCTCACCCACCTTTGAGCTCCCATGTTTTATCTCTCTCTGTTTCATTTGCAGGTCTGACTGCCTCATTAAAACAATTCGGTCAGAAGGTTATTTTGGCATGTACAGAGGTAAGTAAAGCTGAGTCAGGCATGGTGCAGCTTTTGCGTTGGAGCATAAGTGCTTTTGGTGCATAAGTTGGAGGAAAAAGTCCATATCCTCTGGCTTATAAAGCAATAACCTAGCAATATCCTAAGACGTTGAAAGGTGCAGCTGTTTCTTAAAATAAACTCCTCCATGCCAGGTGTCTTCTCAGCTCCCCACCATTGAAGACTTGAGTCCTCCCCATGGCTGTTCTGGTGTTAAACCTTGCCATTTACTGAAGTTATCTTTACTAGCAGTTTAAATGAAGCTGCTGGACTTTGTTTCAGGACTGTATGTGTTTCCCAGCTTGGCCACAGTAACTTTTTTTCAGAGGGGCAGTAGCAAACCCCTTGAAGTGTCTTGCTTGTGGTTGATGATTGAATTTATGTCAAAGCCCACCACCAACGTGGTCAGGTCTGCTGTCCTATCTAGTTGGTAGCTTGTCTCCAAAACGAGCTGTCTCTCAAGCATGCCCAAGTGCTTCAAGTATTAAGACAAACTGCAATTAAAAAAAAAAAAAGTTAAAAATAATCTGCCCCCATAAAAAAATTCCCTTGGGGTGGTAAGAAAATCAGAGGTTGGCTCATGGTGGAGCTTCAGCTGTTTGGTTCATTGTGTGCTAACCTGCTAGAAATCTCCTGGTTGTCTGTTGCAGCAGTGAGTTCCTCAGTTGACATTATACCTTTTCTAGTTTAAACACAAAATCCTTGAAAGTTTTTAAAGGTTTTGAAGATTGAAGAACAGCAGGCCAAATCCTGACTTTACTCATAACGGACAAAAATGTGGAATATCTTCTTGGCTTTCAGCGTGGTCCCAACTGGTTTAGTTGACATTGAACTCTGATTCATTTTATACGCTACTATTCAATTGACTGAATATGCAGTTTTCATCTCTGAGGCTTTCAGATAGCATTCTTCATGGCACTCATTCACTGATAAAGCCTGATTAAAGTACAGCTTTGATTAAGTGAGTCCTTGCTCTCTGTTTTTTCAAGCAGGAGTCCGGAGATGCTGGCGCCTTGCTGTTGGCAGCAGTAGCGTCTCTTGCCGCTTCTTCTGTAGCTCCTAAGGAAACACAGACACTGTAGCCAGCCGTCCTGGAGCAGGCACTGGCTGTTGAGGCAGCGTCTCTTGCGCAACTTGCTGGTGGGCGTTTTGGGGGAGTGGATTGGATGCCGGGGGTGGATTGGCTGCTTCACGCCAGCTTTCCTGGGAGCAGGCAACAAGACAAATAACCCCGAGGAACCCTGGCAAGCTCCATCTTCGATGCTAGCAGTGACGCGTTCCCCCTTGATTTTTATCAGAAGCTGGCTGCTTCTGTGTTCCTAGCCAGGAATGGAGCCTGCGTTAACTTTGGCTGTAAATATGCAGTGGCAGGCTGCTTACTGGGGAGCAGAAGGAAGAAGCTGGTCCTGGAAACTTACAGGACTGTAGGACCCATCAGGGTTCTTGAGAGAGACAGCTTATTCCTGTAAGGCATGTGGTGGTGGTGGGGATATGCATCTCCAGGCCACTTTTTACTCCCAGGCAGAAATCTCAAAGGGTGGAGAGGGTTTTGCATAGCTCTTACTTTTCCCAGCTATAGTGAGTCTGGTCAGCTTGGTCCATGTCCCACTAACTTTGTACCCCCTCTGTTCAGGGAGCTGATAGTGGCTTGAATTTACTTGTCACCTCTGACTATTAAATAGGGAACTGGGTTTAAAGAGGGCTTTTGTGAATAGCTCCAGCTCCTTCCAGAAATACATAGATATTTCAGCATGGCCAGGGTGCAAAAGTGACTCTTATAAGTACAGCAGTCCTGGTCTCTGTGCCTCAGTTCTGTGAGCTGACGTTAACAGCCCTTCCCTCCCTCTAAGAGAGAGGATGGGTGGGTAAAATACATCCAAGATTCATGAAGAATGTGAGTGCTTTTCTGGGAAGAAGGTAAAGAGATGGCTCAGCCTTGCGGACAGGGGCAGATGGAAATCAGATGGTGGGATTGGTTCCTGTTCCCTCTGTCTGTCCCAGTTCCCAGCAGAAGTTGCTGTATGACTCAAGCTCTTATTTGCAGCCTTTAAGCTTGAACTGGGAGGATTGTATGTTAATGTGCTAAAGTGGCAGCTGCTGTGCTCCATGGAGGAGTCACAAGTGCATCAGTCATCCCTGCAGGGCACTTGACCTCTGTTGGAGGACAGAAAGGGTCTGCTTGGGTGCAGGCATTCGCACTGTGTAACTTCAGGTCTCCTTCACATGTGAATCAAAGCTCCTCCATGCAGACAGAGGCTTGAGAGAGAGGCTTGAGCTTGTAGGATGCTTTTTGGCAAATCATCTCTTAAGTGTGGTGTGTGGGCAGACAGTCCTTGCTCTGTATGCCTAGACCATAGTGAACTGTGTGTTGCATAAGGCAGTCCCAACATTTGTCAAGTTCTCCCCCAAAAGTTACAGGGATTCTTGGGTTTGTTTGGAGGAGGAAGAAGAGGAGGGTTTTTTTTTCCATAACATCTAGGTAGCAGCAGTGCCTCAAAACTGCGTGGTGCTGTCTAGCCCTGTCTATGCTCAAGGGATGACACTGTGCTGCCTTCAGACGTGATGCCAAGCAAATGAATCCGTGGTGCCTGTGTGCTCCTGGACCTTGTGGACACCAGTGGAAGGGGACCTCAGAGAGGTGTTGTCTCTGCTCCCTGCTACAGTCCATCCAGAAGCCGCCTATAGATCCCAGCATATGTCCTGGAAAGTCCCATTGCTGTTTGCAGACCAGCTGTTTAGCCTAGCTAAAGGGAGCCAAAGGCCTAGATCAGGCTGGGGAAATGCCCTTTGCTGTTGATGACGTTTGGAGGATAGCAGCAGTCTTAACTGCAGTAGTATGGCAGCCTTCCCTGGCCTCTGCTAATAATACCTCACATGCACACCAGTGCCGCACTGGGGATGACTCAATCCCCCTGTTATGTAGGTTGCTGGTGATCTATAAGGGCTTCTATGAGAAATGTGTTTTAATAACAAAACCCAAGGCTCGGTGAGAAGAGGGCACTTACAAGTTCAGTTGGCAAACAAGTGGTTTTGCCTCTATTTGATTTTGGTTTTTGTAGTGATTCCATATTTCTTTTAAAAATACTTTGTTTTTTAATGATTGTAATTTATTTTTGTGTTGTTTGTCTGTCATTGCTTCTGGTATATGTAACGTTGCCTATAGGCCAAGGTTAGCTTTAGTTAGGGAAATAGTCATTGGCACAGCTAGAATTGAAGAGCTATGTGATTTCTGTAAAAAGGTAGAAAACGCTGTGGAAAGTGTACAGCCAGCAGCTAATTTCTTTTCCTCCAGTCAGTTGAAGCTGTTACAGATTATTGAGGACAGGGATTATCCATTCTCTGCTAAGCTGCTTTACTGAAAATATCAAAGATGTAGGAGAAGACCCAGGTTCATTAACTTTTCTGTGTATATTGTGTGTTTTTACTCTCTACTTTATTTGCAACTGAAGGAGAAATTACTGTGAAAGCCTCTTGATTCTTGGAGGAGGTCAGCACATGGAAGCATACTTCTCGCTTAAGTTCTTGCTTGATGGTTTGGAGTTTGTTTTCTTTCTTTCAGTGAATCCTTTGCACTGGTGTTAGGGTAGTGGGTTTATTCTTCTTTCTTTCTCTCCTTGTTTTTCCAAGGAAATGGTTATTCATGCTGCATGTCAGTAATGTACAGCTGTTTTACTTTCTAGCCATTAGGAGTGGGGTTGAAGTTGTCATCAACTTGGCATTCGAGGAAACACTTCACGGATAGCCATTTCCACTTAAAAATCGGGCTGTGTGGATTTGCTTTGTAGATCCTGATATGATTGACATTAAAAGGTAGAGCATGAAGGTCATGTCTGTGGCTTCTCATCACATGCAAGAGACGTGGTGGTGGGGATATGATGTGTAGGTAGCTCATCAAACTGAAGCAGCACAATCACTAGTACACTTCAAAGTTTGCAAAAGCTTAGGAGTGTGAGAGGGCTGCCCTGCTCCCTGGCTCCTGTAGAAGATGGCATTTGTTGGATATCATAGCCTGTGTGGAATGAATGCATTGGCTTAGCTTGCCGCGAGGCAGTGTTACTCTGTATTTCCTGCAAAATCCGAACATGGCATTCAAAAGAGGGGAAAACGTGTTGGGCTACCAAGCCCTGCCCAGCAAAGGCTGTTTGTGTTCTTGCTGCGATTTCCTGTGTGACGGAGAAGTGTCCTCTGAGCAGAGGATGTGGAGCCAAGGATTCCCGTGTCCTGGTCCCAGTTATCCTGTTCCCAGAAGTCCCAGTTGCAACTTTGCTTCCTAATCTGAGGAGAGTCCCCCTAAACCTATGTCTTTCCATGTCTAATTTAGGAGTTCCTCAATAATTGTTTGGAGGGACAGGAGTCTATCCTTGAGGAATAGAGGATTGAGTTGCCGTTCTTTAGGTGTGTTGAGCCTTTACAGCTCCTCTCAACTTGTGTTCAAGCCTCCTTGAAAATGAACCCTGCCAGGTCTTTGGAGCCTAGTGGGAGTGCAGGCTTCTTTCTTTGCTTCTCTTTGGAATACGGACCTTTGGGAAAAATTGTTTAAATCTCTACAGCAAGCATAAATGCAAAAGGCATACCCTAGTATTTGTGTTTGTCCTTGCAAAGGTGTTCATAGGCCATTAGCAAGTCTCAAGTGAAGCTCTTCTGGAGGGCTTGGGGCTCAGTACGCTTCAGTGCAGGGAGAGCTTGTGGTCATCAACTGCAGGAACTTTTGAGCCATAAGATTTAATGGGAGGAGAATGTTCTGGAGCATTAATCTAATGATGGAAAACCCAGTATGCTCAGAAGGGACCAGCCCTCCCCTCATGCCACTTCCCCCAGGGCAGCTTGAAAGCTGCCCCCAAGTTGCTGTGTTGCACTAATGCTGGCGTCCATGGTCCACAGCAGCTAACCAGGCCACACAGACCTCTCATTGTGGCAGGCACAATACAGGGATTTGCTGTTTGTTGCTCCTGACAAAAGGACACTCCAGCATGTGGTGGGGGAGCCAAGACTTGTTTACACCCCAGGTTCCCCAGCAAGCTTTGCCATGGTGCTCATAGGGGAATTTCTGCAGGGTGCAGCTTGTGGTGGACAAAAAAAGCCACTTCAGCCCTGGCTGTTCTGAGGGTGACACCCAGTGGTGATATACAAGGGAAGCCACTTAACTCCAAGGGTTGGTCTAGAGCTGGCTGACTTCTGTGTAGATGAGTCAAGTTGACTTCAGCCAGCCTCCCGGTCTTTCCATGGCTCTGCCTTTTCTGCGCTGCCTGGTAAGCAAGCTGCTCTGCTTTTGGTGGTGGTTGGGCAGGGACAGTAGCAAGAAGGTGGGGCGGGGGGATTTTGCTTCTCAGCATCACAAAATATTTGCAAAAGAGTTGGGGCTGGCCATTAATCCAACTTGTACTCCTTTCTTGAAGGTCTTATCTGCATTCTTCTGGATTCATAGGAATGTATCCTTGGATGAGAGAAGAGGATGCATGTATGCATGGTGGGAGGTAGCAGTGAAGCTAAAGACATTACCAGAAACATATTGCAAATTGAGTAGAAACACATCAGGGAATGTTTTAAAAAACCCAAGGTGTTGGGAGGCAGAAATCCTATTAATTTCCAGTGGTGTTTCTAAACCCTTTTGGTGCATTAGGAGCTCTCCTTCAGCAATCCTTGGTTTTGAGCAGGAGTTACAACTCATTCGTGAAAGATGGAGTTAACAGTTCCTTTATTCTCTGTCTCCAATGGCCTTTTCCTCTTTTTCTTGCCCAGGGGCTGCAGTGAACCTGACTCTAGTGACACCAGAAAAGGCTATCAAACTGGCAGCCAATGACTTCTTCCGGCATCACCTCTCCAAAGATGGGTGAGTAGGGGGTGCAGACCTTTCGCGTTCAACTTCAAAGACACCAGCTCTTGGGACAAGTCTGGTGAGATGTCAGGGCAAAGGTGGAATGGGGTGATGTGATGACTGAAATATGAGTTGACCTTGAACAGCTCAGCTGGTGATTACATTTGGGCTAAGGATGTAATGTCTAAAATGGGAATTGAAAAGCACTCTGTTGGATGCCTGCTTTTTATTCAAGCTTCTAAAAATAGTCCCAGATCTAAGCCAATGTTAGAAGATCCGGAATTTGTAGGCAAAACATTTGAGAGGAGCCCAATAGCGTGGATCACTGCTGAAACAGCTGCTGGGAGGACCCTTGTCCTTAGCATCCTATTGGATGCTGTTATGCTCTTTCTGGCTTGAACAGATGGCAAGTCAAGTTCTGTAGACCCCAAACTTAGCATCCCTCTTGTCCTTTTGTAGCTTGAAAATAATTGTAGAGAGGTGGTGAATCTGAATTGACAAAGGACACTTGTAGCATTTCTCAACAGCTGACTTGCAAATAAATGCTGAAGGAATAAAATGATCTGTTTAGTTTGCAAGTTGGAGTTGGTTCATGTGAATTAAATGTGAGTAAAACACGCTAGGTGAGCAGTTGAGAGGGGCTGGGCCCTGAATATTTAATGCTGTTTTCACCAAGATGTTTCCCTTGCAATTTGGAAAACACTTTTGTCTGCTTTCAGACTGAGAATTTTCTCCAGAGACAGCCAGTGAAGGGCACTGTCTCCAGTCCTCAGTGACTAGTTAGAAAACAGCCTGCTTGGGATATGATCCTGACTGTTCCCATCAGCAGTGACGGGGTGGAGCCTCACTGAAAATGCAAAGCTTTGCCACGATTACCCATGATATGGGTTAAACAACTTCCTATAACATACCGTGTCAGTCTTGGCTGCTGCAGATCAGTGGCTCAACAGCTTCAGTGGAGATGGTGGACTGACACAGGCTGAGGATCTAGTTCTTTCATATACCTATTTTTTTTGTTCTGGAGTCTTTCAAAGTAGCAACTAACAGACATTTGTGTGACTCATCGGCTCGCAGCTGTTTGTGATTTTTGTGTCTCTTAAAATAGTGTCTCTTCTGTGCTCTGCTCAGACAGTGGGAGGTAATGATGTCCTCATTGCTCATCGCTTCTGCCGAGCGTTGGGTCTGATCCCTGCAGCAGACGTTACAGCAGGCCCTGGTGTACTGCAGTAGACAGGAGCACAGCTAGCTCATGGCCACCACCTACGAAGTGAGGACTTAGTAGGTTGTACAGGGAAGACAGAAGGGGTACCAAGCTGCCATGCCTTGTACCACCACTGAGAGAGTGGCTCATGGAAGAAATTAGAGCAGCATTGCAGCATATTTGGTGTTCTGTGAGAGCGATCACTGCTGTGATGTTTCAGCCATTAAAACATGACATGCCTGTCAATAGATGTCCTGCACCATGAGAGATGATACCATCCTCATAGGACAAATGTGTGTGTCTGCCTCTCAGTGTTGAGGCAGGCTTTGAGCAGGTGTTTGGGTAAGCAGGATGCAGCTGTTCCCATAGCTGAGGTCTTCACCCAGACCTCTTCCAGTTTGACTTCTGGGTTCCTGGCTGATCACACATGATGTGGATCATGTGCTGTGCTTCATTCAGAAGGAAGGAGCTAGAGAGTTTTGCCAAGAGTAAGACACTCTGTTCTCCTAAAACAGGTCCTGACGGGACTGGCACTACAGCAACCTGAAGCAGGAGTGTGATACCGCTCAAGTAGTCTTGACATGAAGCATTTTTAACTCCTTTAGAGAAAAGAAAGGTTCCTCCACAGTTAGGTGACAATAGCTAGGCAGCATGTGGAGTTGGGGTCACTCATCTCATTCAACCACCACGGGTGGCTTGGATGAATGAAATCTGGTCAACTCTGCTCATGAGAATAGCCAGTGTGAGCTGAACAGAGAGGCAGAGCCTTGATACTGCTGTGATAGATGGTTTAAAGTGTTTCTAACTAGAAATGTCACTCCAAGATGTGATGGAAAAGAAGATGCCTTGCAGGTTGGCTGTGGCTGGCATAGGCTATGAACCTAGGATCTAGCTGGAAGGTCTGGTGCATGCTGTGACCTTGCTTAGTATATGGGGAGCAGGGTATGATGGAAAAGGGCATGACATTACTAGTGAGGATAATGGCCCTTAGAAACTCTAGGACAGCTGCTTATCGTTTTCTTCCATGCTAGCGAAATCCCAGGCCTGGGGATGTGTATGTAACCTGTTGGAGGGGTTGTGCCTGGCCATGCTGTAGCTGTTGCATGCTACTTTGCCTTTAGCAGTTCACAGAATCTTTTCCTATGTGTAGCATGTGCAGCAAATAGGAGTGATGGCAAGGGGCCATTTCATTGAGTCATGAAGCTCTGTTGTCACCCAAGGGTTTGCCTTGCTCTTGCTCCCTCTTTCCAAGCTGTTTGCAGTCTGCAGGTTTCTCCCTTGAGATGCTTCTGTCCACTCCAGTTGTGTTTGTAAGACAGGGCAGGATTAGCGGTGCTGGAATTCAAACACCTCTCCTAGCCGGGGCAAAACAGGGTACATACCTGTTAGCACGTAGCAAGGTTGGACTAATTATTTCATAACTCCAGTCAAAGCCTAGGTGTGAACAACAAAACAGCCCAGGGTTAGAAGGGTGACGATTCAAGCTGCCTGGCATGTCAATGTGGTTTCATTTCCGGATATGTAATTGCAACAGTCAAGGTATTATATGGTGTAAAGCACAGCGGAGGGACTTAGGCTCAGTGTAAGGCTGGGGTCTGTTTTTTCATGGTAAGCCACCAAGATCTTAGTCTGGCTTGTGCAAAAAGGGCTTTTGGTGGAGCTGAACCATCTGCTGTGTGTTCATAGTATGCTGTGCTCTTAGGCCAGCATCCCAAAAGATGCTTTTCTGACTCAGAGCTGCGAAAGTCTTCTAGTCCTCTTTGACTCTGAATGCTGTTGTTTTCAAGCTTCTGTCACTTGTCTTGCTTGAAATGTGTTGCGTGAATTGGAGATCCTTGTCCAAAAAATGTGTGTGTTCTATCAGTATTTGCTGATTAAAATATGCTGAGTATGTCCTCCATGTGCAAGTGGAAGAAGCACGTGTGGACCAGAGAGAGTGTAGCAAATCCAGCATGACCCAAAATAGTCTCAAGTTACACAACAACTTTTAGTGTGCAGGCATATATATTTTTTTTAATCCTCTGAAATGAATTTGCTTTTAAACTGCTAAGAAAAAACGTGGCATAAAGCCTGTTTTTGAAAGGCCAGACTGAAAACAACACCTGTGGCGTAGGAAGCTCCTGCCTGCAAATTGCTGGAAGAATATTCTGGGGATGTATCACTGCAGGTTTGTGCTAGACTCCCTTTTCGCTGGCCATGCTCTTGGATGCTGCTGGAGGTAGAGTATTGAGGCCTCAGGACCTCATGTGGGACCTCATGCCCTTGTTGGTGCACCCATCTCCCTGAGTCTGGAGATGTCTGTTCCTCCAGCCCTCTCAACCCTGGAACTAGCTTGGTTGGGCACTCCAGCCTGTACAATGCTCTTCCCCTCCTTTTGGTGCAGGAAGGATGTGTGTTCACAGGCTAAGGGGCTTGATTTCTGCTTCTTTGCCTGTTTCTGTTCTGATATTGAGACCATTATGACAACCTACTGCTACAGCCTCTTGTTTCATGAGGAAACAAAACTGTGCTCCCAAGCTGTCCTGGACATTTAGGAACAAGGAAGGCCTGTGTGAGTTGTGAGAGTGCTGGAAACCCCCTTGCTATGCCATGGAAGAAAGAAGGAAACCCAAGGTACTGAAAAACCTGAAGGGCACCCCATGACCCTAATTAAGAAAGGCAATAAGGGTCAAACATTGTCCTGTGATGATTTTGGTCTGAGGGCCCCTGCAATTCCCAGGAGAAGTAGAAGAGAAACCTTCAGGCTGCTGGAAACAGACGGGATTTTTTTTTTTTTCCTCCTGGATTTCTGAAGCTGAATGTGTTGAGAGATAATCTCACAGCTGCTGTTAAAATAGCAGCAGCTTCATTGTCCAGAGCAGAGGATGTGAGAAGAGGAGTCACTAGGGCTAAGTGAAGCACTTCAGTGTGAAGCACTTGGGTATGAAGCTAAGAAAACAGTTTAAATTGGTAGTACACGAGCATGCATTTAAAATATATTGTTCATTTTTGGGTGCTCAGTGTGTGACGCCTCTTTGATAGATGTAAGTATTGCCTACTTTGTGTCCTCTTTGAATTTGGGTGTTAAACACTTCATAAAAAACAGTCCCTTTAAAGTGTCCTACAAGGTTTCATGTTTATCTCCAAAGTGTTGACTGCCAGACAACTGTTGTGTGTGGCATGTTCGTTAGGTTTTGTTGTTCATTTTTCAAGTTCTTCATTAAATACTGTACTTTGGCTGCAGTAAAACGTGTCTTGTGGCTTCTTATAAAAGCTATTTCTTGCTCATAAGAACTCTCCAGTGTCACTGGATGAGTTTCCTGCTGTTCTTCTCCAAGGTGTGTTATTCCCTTATGGCTCCTGTCCTCTTTAATCTTGACCTTCATACTTTTTTTTTTTTTTTTTGCTATTCTGGGGCAAAGGCTGGCAGTCTGCTGATTTAGCAGCTCAGATTCCTAGGAGGACCGGCATAATTGTGTTAATTGTGTCTTTGCTGATGCCAGCAAATTTTCTTCCTTTCTGCTTCCCCCTGCCTTGTAGCTTTGCTCAGAGAAGAGAAATAGCCAGCTGTAATCCTGAGACAAGCAAGGCACTTTTTCTTTTTTGCCATGCACATGTGGAGACTGGAGCTTGTTCTCCTTTTTCTTCCCAGCTGATACATCTCCTGAGGGCTCCTTCCTTTATCTGCTTCCCTTTCAGGCTCTCCTAAAATACTTGGACCATCTCTTCTGTGGCATCTGTTTAAGTAGCCATTGCATGGCCTGTTTGATCCTTGAGCTGCAAAACGCTCATAGACAAGGCTGTGAAGTGAGGCTCTTGATTTAGGAAGGAGAGATACTGCTACTAGTCCTGGTGCTGAGCTGCTCTGTCACCTTGCGCACACTGTGCTTTGGTCTTTCTCTGGGCAGGAGCCCTTGTGGGCCAAGGCAGCCTTTCTTGTAGTTATCCACTGGATGTCCAGACACTTTTTAATGCAGATAACCCTCATCCAACCCACCAGGACTTGTAGGACTTTCCAGCCCTTACCCTAGAGAAAGAGCCAGTTAAGAGCTGATAATCTCACTGTGCCTATTCAGGGATAGCTATTGAGGGGGGTGTCTTTTATTTAGCACACAGAGGCTTAGGGAATTACAGTGGGTTGAAGTTGTAGACATCAAAGGTCAGCCAGAAAGTAAATATACTTTCAGCTGTTAATCTAGAAGGAGCTAGAGATGGGCTGTTTAATCACGTAATACACCCATGAGAGGAGTATTGCCCTTATCTCCATTCCAGGTACATGTCTTGGGAGAAAACATGGGTTGTGTCTGTTCAGCATGCCCGGATGTGTTACTCTGTTGTTCACTTCCACAGACATTCGTATAGGAACAAAACACTTGGGATCTCCCACCAGGGCAAACCTGATGTAATGGGTGCAGGTACAGAGTCCTCTTCCTCTTGACTTCGTTCAAACACAAAATGCAGAGCTCCTGCAGCCAGATGCAGGTTGTACCATACTTGGAGTAATGCCTGCAAGAGCAATATTTAATCTGGTGGCATTACTTTGAGGTGGATCTGTCCTGCATCAGTGCTTTGTTTTGCCTGTCAGAGACATTTTTGAGCTGGCACTAGAAATGAGAGGGAGCTTGTAACGGGAACTTTCTTGCTTTTACATTTCCAGGATCTGAAGTGCAGTTGCAACAGCTTGTTGTTCCCTCTTGGAAGGCCAGGGATCATGTTTAAAGGGACTGACTGGCAGTTTGTGTGCACATCCCCATGTGGCTGTGGCAGACAGCTTGCCCTCCCTTTGAAGGATGACAACTGTATGTTGGTCCCCTAAGCCATATCAAAAACCCACTATTTAAATTGTTTGAAAGCAGCTGAGACTCTGTTTTGAAACTGTTGGGGAGCTTTCTACAATCTGTTCAGTTGACAGACCAGAGGCAGTGGTTATTTTGAGTGAGGAAGGCGATGTCCAAGCTGGGGACAGTAGCCTCTTGGGTAGCAAATAGTAACATATGGCTTTGTATGGATGTTTCCTTAGGTCAAAGATTTTCTGTCTTTGGAAATCTTATCATCCTTATTCTGAAATGGCTGGGTTTGGTCCCTGCCCAAGCACAGTCAACTCCTACACGGTCAAGGTTTTTCCGAAACTTTAAAAAAATTCTACTCTCTTCCCTTGTGACATGAATATACAGATGCTTTCAGAGATGCTAACTTTGGACTCGTGTGTTGCTCTTGAAAAGCCCTCCATAAACCTCTAGTTCCTGCTTTTTTACTTTCTTTTCTTTCAGCTCTAGTTTGAAACTCTAATTTAGATCGAGCATGAATCTTCTCCCCTCCACATTGTTGATTTGTCATGTCAATTAATTGCATGTCAGTTAAAGTGGAACAACTGATTCCTGCCAGTGCAGAATTTGGGACTATTGTGTATATATTATATTTAACAGCCTCTTGCTGCGATAAAAGGTGTTTTTTGCATTCGTAGGACCAGATCCTTGCTGGTGTGGCAGCTTTTGAAGTTAGTTGAGATGTGCCAGTTTTTAAACCACTGAAGATAAGGCTTGTGGTGCCTTAAATATTTAAACCCCTTTGTCATCTAGAGATGAACCATTTTCAGACTCCTTTTATGTGCAGGCTGGTGAGGTTTTGCAAAGGGAGTTTGACCGCTGTATGGCAAATTTTAAACCTGACAAAAGATTGCTTATCTTAGGCTATGTTTTTCTTGGACTCCCCCCAGTTCCAAGGATATGCAAACCAAAAGCTGAAAGCCCTTGTTGTAGATGCTTTTGATGTACCTGTTTGACATCTTTAAAACATACCCACACACATAAATCCTTTGCTGGGTCACACTGGCATAGTTCAATCAAGCCAGGCTGATTTTGTTGGCTGGAATAATGGTTCACAGACTAACACATACGGCAAATCTTCCTGATCTTTTGAACTGGGTATCAAAGCAGTTGCCCTGGATGAAAGCCAGGAGACGTGTACTCCAGGGATGCTCCAGGACTCTTGCTAAAGTGGGAGATGCTCTAGTGTGCTATAGAGGGGGACTAGCAGCCAGCTGCTTTGGATGGTTTACTTCCTCCCATGGCTGGGCTAGGGATTGTGCAGCCTTGCTGCTGACTGTATCGAGCTGTGCAGAGACTGACGCTGTGCTTCAGGCCACCCAAGAGGCACAAATTGGCCACCTCCAGGTGTCAGTACCAGTTGGACCTCTGGATTTGCACACCCTGATACCTGCGTACCTCCAGGAAAGCTTGCTGAGCACTCTTCAGCGCCTGTTCGGGTAACTCTGTGGGAGGGATTGTTCTTTGTAGCTTCTCATCTATGGGGGAATTTGGAAAGGGGAGACTGTGAAATGTTCCTCCTTTCAGCCTCATGGGACATCTCTATATTTAGTCACTGATAATCTCCGTTGTGGCTCTGTGCCTCTAATCCCCTGCTCTGATATCCTCCCTGGAGAAGATGAGAGGTGGAGAAATCGGCCTGGCTGACATGGTGGGGCAGCAGGATTATGGCGCATCTCCCCTCCCTTTCCCATAGTGTTGGCAGTGAAGCTTCTTTGCTGGCCTGCAGTGCCACAGCTGTGCTATGTGTGCATGCATATGAAACCCCCAGTAAGGGAGTGTGGCTTGGTTTTGCAGGGGAATAGAGCATATCATTGTGGGACTGTCTTCTCCATAGTGTAGGGACTTGTCTTGAGTGGGTTAAAATGAGGTATTGCTGTAGGAGCAGGGCTGAGGGGAGTAAAAATAGTACTTGCATTTAAAACAGAAAAAAGACGACGCTGTTTCCCTCTGGCTGTGTGATTTTTAGATATGCTTTTTCTTTTTTTGCCCTTTTAGAAAAGAGCAGATCAGAGGCACTTTTTTTTAAAATCAAGTTTGTGTTTTCTGGTGCCAAGGAGTGAGATTTTTTTTACAGGGCAAAAACTCATCAGTTTCTGAAATTTGAGGCTTTCTGAACATTTGCATCCTGAGTTCTTCTTCTTAGTCTTAGCTGGGCTGTTTTGTGGCTTTGGGATGGAGGGAGCTATGAAATGCTGCATTTTGTTAAGCAAGAACATGTCGCTGATAATCCCTGCTCTCCAGTACAGAGGATGCACAAAGCTGCCGTGCTGGTGTTCTATCCCATCCCTTCTCCCTTAGGCAGGATCAGTTTAATGCAAAGGCTACTCTTTCCGTTTTGGAAAGGCTGGTGAGGTGAAGAAGCCGCTAACCACAGGGGAACTGCCTACCTGACTCTCATGTTTGCTGTTTGTTTATTTTGCTTTTGTCAGAAAACTCCAAAACAGCAACTCAAATATTTTGCCCCCTTGCTCCTTGTCCTGTGGTCTATGTTTGTTTGCTTGTGGGGATGTTGATGGTGTTTGAAAGACTAGGCTGGCAAAAGGAAAGCTGTTTATCCGCCTTAATGCTCAGGTCCTCTGCTGCCCTCTGAAGCGATACCCTTTCTGAAGGCTGTGCCCTGACTAGGGGCAATGCCAGGCTGGAAGGGAGCTGCAGCTCTGTGTCTGGGGATGGAGAGGGTTGTGTGATCCTGACTGGGGCTGTTCTGGCTGGGCTTGTGGCTTTTTCTGAATGTTCTGTTTCTGGGGCCAAAATGGGTCGTTTCCTCCAGATCAGGTGATGCTGGCAGAGGTGCCAAGCCTGGCCTATGCGGCACTGTCAAGCCTAGCAGGTTCCCCCATCTCCTGGGCTGCTTCTCCTGTAACTGCAGGGTCAGAGGTGTGCCCCAAGCCCCGGCAGCCCGCTGCCCCGGTGTTACTCCAGGCCGCCTCCTCTGACTGACTCTTTCTCTCTTTTCTTCGGGCAGGAAAAAGCTGACACTGATGAGGGAGATGCTGGCAGGTTGCGGCGCAGGTACCTGCCAGGTGATTGTCACCACTCCCATGGAGATGCTCAAAATCCAGCTGCAAGATGCGGGGCGAATTGGTACGTGGGCTTCTCTTCCCTGTGCACTGAGCAGGCAGAGGGAAAAGGGCTGGGGCTGGGCTGTCAAGGCAGAGGGGGAAGTAAAGAGCAGAGAAAATCCTTTTCTTTCCCCCTGCTCTACCAAGTCAGAGGTATTTCAGACTGTAGCAGAAGTTTCTCCTCTTCTTCCCATCTTGTTTCCACTCACCCTTTGCTCACCTGGCTTTGCAGAGGCCCTTGCAGTTACAAAAAGTGATGATTTTTTTTCTCAGAGTGATAGGCTTGGCAAGTGAAACAGCAAATGCTGCTGATGGGTGGAGAGAGGCAGGAGAGATGACTGGGTGGTCAGCTTGTGAGTGATTATAACTTGTTACTGTGCACACAAGAAGGGATTAGGATCCTCCAGTGCTTTTCCTGTGGTGCTTCCTCCATCTCCATGTTTTCTGATGTCTATTCTCTCTCTTCTACCCCGCTGTAACACCTCCCTAACAGCTTCCCAAGTGGATGTGTCCTTTCTAAATGACTTGTCTCCCCTCTTACTCTCTTTTTTCCTCCTGACAAAAACAGCAGTTGTCTCAGCTGAGATGGTAAATTAAATTCTCCCAGAGCACTACATTTGGAAGAGGTTTGGGGTCAGGCTCTTGGGGCTGTGGGCAGGAGCTGGCAGACAGTGGCACGAGGGAGTGCAAGCCTTTTGGCTGAAACACTGTGGGGCATTTCTAGAGAGAACGGAGACGAGAGTCTGGCATGGAGACTCTGGGGGAAAGAGCTGTTTGCTATCTCATTAATCTCTTCCAGAGGTCAGCCCGGGGTATGGCCTTGTTCCCCAGAGCCCTGCATTACACTGCCAGATACCACGTTTGTGGCCCTTTCAGGAAAATGGGCCAATTTGTCCTTTATCTCTCCTTTGATGTGGCATTTCTGAACAATCACAAATTTACTTTTTCTTTTGTCTCTTTGCTGTTTTTAATGCAGACCTTATCCTCTTTGCATGTATTATTTTAAAATGTTTGAAGGCATTAAGCCATGGTTTGAGGGTTCAGAAGACATTTTTGCTGCTGTGAACAACCTTTTCTCTGTGTGGCAAGAGACCTGTGGTGTGCTGGTGGCAGCCAGAGGATTGCCTACAGGTTGATGTGCTCTCCATCTTCTGGCCAAAGATCAGAAGTGCTTCAGTTTGAAAAGGTTGGGAGAAACCAGGTTGTGTTTATAAATGTGACTGAGGTCCATGATGGTTTTCAAGGGAAGGAAGCAAAGAACAGAATTATTGAACCTCTCTTGTTTATGAATATCTTCAGTTTGCCCTACCGGGGCCTCAGGGATGTAGCTGAAAGCAGGTACTGTCATCTGCCTGCTTACGGCAGCTCCTTTTCTCTGCACTGCAGAGGTCATGTGTGACAGGCTGCTCCTGCTTAGGTAAAACCAGTTACTAGGAGAGTGCACCAGACAGTGTTGTGGTGTGGCAGCAGCCAGCTCTGAGACTGGGACACGCTGGGTTGTCTCAGGCTGAGGGAGATGGGCAGACTGGGAGCAAAAGCTTGCAGGGCACCCGGCTGGCCTTTGTCTGCATGTTTTTGTGCACCTGGAGATCTGCCTCTTCCTCCTTGTCCCATGGCACTGGGCAGCAAGAAACGGCTGTTGAGCATCTTGCAGACCAGTTGCTCTCTCTACTCCTCCCCAGCGGCACAGAAGAAGCTGATGGCAGCGCAGGCCCAGGTCTCCTCTTCCTCTGCGGTGGGGGCAGCAGAGCCGGTGATGGAAACACGCACCACAGCAACACAGATAACAAGGGAGCTGCTGCGGAGCAAAGGCATTGCGGGACTCTACAAGGGCCTGGGAGCCACACTGCTGAGGTAGGATGGTGTGGGCTCGAGCGCAGGGCACTGGTGTTCCCAGTCTTGATCCTAAAACACCAGCCACCCAGGGGATAAGCCTACAAAAGGGGTGTTGGCTTCAAGGTTGTGGGTTTGATTTGGTTTTGTTTCCATGCACGGGTTTAGCTCATTAAAGAAGGGAAGGTCAGGAAAGCGACGAAGGCTACCTTTTTGTTCCTGGAAGATTTAATTCTGCTGTTCTCTGTGGAAGGGTTTTCTTTCCCCCATGGTCCGTATTTTAATACTGTAGGGGAGTCCTTGTGAGCTAGCAAAGCTGTCAGCCTGAGTCTCCAGAGTGTGAAATGGGTTCTGGCCCATCGACCATGTTGGATACAAGGACTGGTGCCTGCTCTGACACACTTTACCTGGGCTTTCACAGAGTGATTCTCCTCTAGCTTTAACAATGGCAGAGCTAAAGCAATGCCCAGTGGGATGGGGGGCAGGATGCCAACCTCTTGTAATTAACTAAAGTGTATGAAATGATTGAATGTGCTGGGGTGTTTGGTTTGAGTGTTGAAAAATCAGGGGGAGGCCATTGACTCTGCAGGGCTGCATGCCTCCCGTGGGCCTGTTGTCCTTTGTGCAGTCAGTTTTGCCCCTGCTAAGTTTCAGCTCCTGTCTGCATTGCAATCGCAGAGCTGGGATGTTTGCATTGTACTCGTGGCTCTGCTGCCAGTGCCTGATGCTTGCAGCCCTTCGTTTAATGCTCAGTTTGTTGGTGTCCCACTCTGACTTTGCTCCTTCTTGTTCTTTCTTCCCTTTCCTCCCTCCCTACTGCAGGGATGTCCCATTCTCCATTGTTTACTTCCCGCTGTTTGCAAACCTGAACAAGCTGGGCCAGAAAGACCCCAATGTCAAGGCTCCATTCTACGTGTCCTTCCTCTCTGGATGTGTGGCTGGTAGTACAGCTGCAGTGGCTGTCAATCCTTGCGATGGTGAGTCCCATGCCTGTGCTGGTGGCCTGGCACCAGGAGTCAGGATGGGCTAGGTGAGGAGGAGGGTGACCATGCCAGCCTCTTCACAGCATGAGCTCATAGGAAGGTACAAGAAGGGAGCTCTGCTGTCTAAGCTGCCTCCAGCTCAGATGATGTTTCCCTCAGCTGAGCTGTACCTTTGGCCACAGCTTACACAGATCTTTGCAGTACTTGCTAGGTAAGTCAGGAAGAGGGTGTCATTCATTTCAGTCATTCTTTGCAGGAATGACTGCAAATGTGCCCCTGAAAAGTCATGTTTCCGTGTGGAGTGATAGTGTGCACACCACATGCATATGGTCATGGACAACCAGGGGGAGCCTAGGATCTGTGTCCTTTTCTCCTGCTCCATAGCAGCTGCCTTAAATACCACCTTGGTTTCTCTGCTATGAGAAACACCAGGAAGTAACTCCTCTCTCTCCAACATTGCACATGATACAGTAACTCGTCTCTCTCCAACATTGCACATGATCCAAGGTGTGAAGAAATCTAAGAGCACCTTTGTATATTTTAGATACTTCTTCCAGAAGAAGCTGAGTATTTGAAAATCATTTCCTACCTTGCAGAAAGGTATTCGAGTTTAGAAGCTTAAGTCAGCCTTGGAAACCCTGGTCACAGTGAGGGGAGGAGGTTGGGTTTTGGCTGGCTGTGTTTTTCTTTTATCTATTTGTAAAGGAATGGGTTTGTTTTCCCCTGTTTTGCTGATAAATACATGAAAATGAAACACAGTCAAAAGGAGATCACCAAGAACACAGACCAAACACATTACTCTCAGGGTGGCTCATGCCTGCTGAAGAGCATGCTACGTTCCCAGTGCTCACCACTGTCTCTTTTCTCTCTTTCTCCCCAGTGATCAAAACACGGCTGCAGTCCTTGCAGAGGGGAGTGAATGAGGACACCTACTCAGGAATCCTGGACTGCACCAAGTAAGACTCCTTATGAAGCAGGCTGCCGCATCAGATGTATGGCATCTGCTGCTGCACACTGCCAGGAAGTCAGTGCAGCTTCTAGACCCAACCAGCAGTTTCTCTGCTTCAGGTTCCCTCTGAACCTGTGCTTTTATCTATCTATCTATTTAGACAGATATATAGATATATGACCAGATATATACTGTTCATATATAGAGATACAACTTCATCCAATTTTGAGCAAGGTAAATATAGAATTTATATTTAAATGTTTCTGTCTGAACCCCAAAAGTCGTAACATTGAGATTTTATTTCTGCAAAGGGAGGCAATGCTATGGTTGTCTCTCCCAAGGCCTGCTATCTGAAAATGCTCAGCATTAAGTCTTGTATCCCTCCCAGGACCGCTCTGAACAGTGGCTGCAGGAGTGTTGTCTGAGTGGGCTGTCCCCAGCTGCATTCTCTTCTGACCCTTTGCTAAACTGCAGTCTGGCTGCTTCAAAACCTGAAGGGAGTTTCAAAACACAAGTGCTCTGCTTCTGTATTGCTGTTGTAGCCAGAGTCTCTTGCCATCTGGCTGTGTCCCATACTGGGGGTGGAGTTGGCCCCAACTTTTGAACAGGGGGCCTCTTGATGCAAGCATGGGGTTGTCTTAGCTGTACACCCAGACCCAAGCAGACGCTCCTGCTCCTGGCCAGATGTAGGGATGGGGTATGTTCCTGTATGGCCATTTGCAGAGCACATGGTGGGGATGGTGGATGATCTGCTGTGGAAGCAGTGCCAGGCAACAGTGCTTGCCTGGGTTTAGGCTCTGGAGGGAGGCAGAAAGCCTGTAGGGCATGGCCAGAGGCTCTCCTGGCATGGTGACAGGGTGAGATGGACACTTACCTGTCTGTGCCATTTATCCCCAGGAAGATCTGGCAGAAGGAAGGGCCCATGGCCTTCCTGAAAGGGGCATACTGCCGAGCCCTGGTCATTGCTCCTCTCTTCGGCATCGCACAAGTTGTCTACTTCATCGGCATCGCGGAGTTCCTGCTGGACATGCTCCCCAAGCACCGGGCCTAGCCCCAGTGCACCTGTCTGTGCCCTCCTGCCCTCTGCAGCACTGAATTCATCCCCGTGTTTGTCATCCGTGTCGACTGATGTCAGAGCAACAGCACAAAGTGTTCGCGCAGGGGTGCCGAGGGGATGTGGTCTCCAGACAAGCAAACGTGGGGAGGGAGAGAGTCCCTTTCCTGTCTTGATCTGGAACCCGCCCTCTCCTGCTCCTTCCACGGACAATACCTAATTATGCATATCCCTTCCCCCCCCCCCTTTCCTTTTTTGTTTTTAAATTGTCATTCTTAAGTAATGGTAAGCACGGACTGGGCTTGCAGACCTAGAAGTCTTCTCTCAGCCTTGGGGAGGAAAAGGGATGGGAAAGAAATAAGCTGGACCCTTGTCCACCCCAGTCCCCCTCTTTCTTCCTGGAGTTGCCAGCTATCTGAAGAGGAGCTGGAGGGGCAGCTGTGTCCCCTCAGCCCCTCCTCAGCTCTGCTGGCCCCAGGTTGAGAGCAGGCACCATGCAAAGGGGGCTCATGCTGGATCTGGCAAGTTCCTTGGCCGGTAAACCTTCACCCCTCCTTTCTCACAAATGACTTGGACTTTAGATGAACTTCTTGGAGACCAGAGGAAGGGAAAGGAGATCATTACTATTGATTTTGTAATTATTCTTGTTTTAAAGCAAAGGGATGTCCCTCCTAAGTAGGTGTCACAGGCACATCTGGGTGAGGTGCAGAGATGAGATGTCTGCTCTGTAGGGAACATGTCTGTGGGATCACATGAATGTCCAAAGGTGCTTGACTGCTTGGCTACAGGCAGGGGAGGGAGAGAAACTTGGGATCAAGTTATTTTTGTTTGGGATGTTTTTTTGTTTGTTTTGTTTTGGGCTTTTGTTTTGTTTTTTAATGCAGGGGTTGTGGGGAGGGAACACCAAACAACAAGAAACCACTTACATTCCTTCAGCCTGCCCACTCCTGGTGTTATAAAGTGATGGTTGCAGGTGTAGATTAGCTGATTTATTTCTTTTCTCCAGCCTGGCCCCAGGTGGGTGAAAGGAAGGGCCTGCTCTGCTTCTGCGGTACCCAGCCTTGGGGAGCTACGCTAGAGCACATGGGCACAGCCTTTCACCTTGCAAGGTGAAAACGCAAGGTTTAGTTGGGCTTTGATGTTTGAGCCAGCAGGTGTCAAAGAGGCAGAGGGTTCCCGCACCCTGAGCGAGGAGCTGTTTGTCTGTAAACAATTAGCAGGGTGGAGTCTCTGGATCACAGAAACTTCTCATCCTGCTCGCTTCTGGGGTGGTGACTGTCATTGGGTGGCAGGGGACAAATCCACACCTACAACCTGCTTTGTCAAAGGGATGCTGCCCCAGCTAACATCACTTGTCAGAGGACTTCCTTGTTCAGTGCTCTCTTGGGCTGTGTAATTAATTCTAACTTAAATGATCTTAAGTGTGAGAATAACAACCCAGCGTCATCTTCTTCATTATTTATTCCATTTGGTGCAACCCACCTGACTTTGGTGTTTAAATTAAACTGGTCGAATTCACTCTTCATTCCTCCTCCTTTTTGCTTTGTTCTCCAGGGGTTTGCTTGGTGTTTGTGTTTCAAATGTATATTTAAATTAATTAAAAAAAAAAATCCCTGTTTTTAATGTTTAAAAGAAAACCACCTCTGTTTCAACATTCTTGGGTTATGTTTTTGCAAAACCTTTTTCTCTGATGCGTCCTTTTTCTCTTTGAAAAAGTTGTTCTGTGGCTGATTTGTTACTTGTCACTTTGCATATGTGAATAATTTTCTTTATTTTTCTTCTTAATGACTTCTGTGTTTCTGGGAAGGAATCTGTGCAAAGATGATGATGATGTCTGTGCTGTGTGTAGTGCTGTGATGCTGCTCTTGCTCTGGAATTCCCTTGGGTGGATTAAAAGAGAAAGACTTTTTTTTTTTTAAGGTACCCTGTTCCTTGCTGCTTTGTGATTTACAAGGAGGGTCCCCAAAAGAAACCTTGCCAAGAAAAGTAGTGGGGTTTCTGCTTGCTTTTCTGCCTACAAGGATTGCCCCAGAAGCTGGGTGACTTGCAGCTTGCAGGGGGGGGGTGTGCGGTGCAAGTTTGTACTGTGGGGTTACATTTGGAGGAAAGTTTGCTGTAGTGAAGGACTGAGGTTCAGGGAAAGCTCTCCTTGTCCTTCTAAAAACCTCTTTGTGAAAGGGATGATGAATCCTGAAACCTCCAGCTCTTCTATCTCGTTGGAGCTGGTGACCTGAATGGGGCTGGTTTTTTTTAGCTGCTTGGCCGTGTCCTGGAGTTGGGAGGATATGGGCAGGGGAGCAGTGACTGTGGCCCCATGAGAGCCCCCCAGGCAGGCAGGGTGGTGCTGGACAAAAAAATAAGAGTTTAAAATGGGAGACTTTCCTTTGACTTAACTAATCACTGATGAGCAGAAACCTCTAAGAATCGATAGCAGTATTGAGGAATAAAGGTAAATAAATGTGCTTGGAGAAACACAACTCTGGTCCCCTCCCTGCATGTGCCACTTGTCCCTAGCCTTGGGGACAATAACCAGCATGGGGTCAACTTCTTGTGTGTCCTACCTAGTCCCTCTGGCATGGGGTCAGGGGGCCGAGGTTGTGTACCCAGACTGTTTCAGTCGTACCTTGTCCCATCTCAGCTCTGGCACTTGCTCCAGCCCTGCCTGCGGCTCCTGTGCCTCCTGTTTGGGTTGTGGGGTGTGTACTGCCCTTAAATGCATTTTGGTGGAGGTGCCGCACGCCTTGTGGATTCAGGCAGATGGGTTGGTTTTGGCTGGTTCAATTTCTCAGAACACAATGAGGAAATTTCCTAAAGCCCTATGGGGGGAAAATTCCTACAAAGCAAAAGGGAAAGTTCCTGGAAACCAATAGGGGAATTCATGGAAAGCAAAGGGAAACCATCCTAGAAAGCTACAGTAAAATACCCTGGAAAATGAAGGGGAAAGTTACTGCAAGGCAATGTAGGAATTTCCGTGAGAGCACTAAGGGGAATTCCTTGAGAGCAAAGGGGGAAATATTCTGGAAATTTGTAAAGCAATGGAGGACCTTGCTAGTGGGACACAGAGGGGATAGCCTAGAAATCAAAGGATGAAAATTCCTAGAAAGCAAGGAGGAAATTTCCTCAACTACCAGGGAACTTCCTCAAAAGCAAAAGTGAAGTTCCTTAAGAAAATAACAGTGATATTTCCTAGAGAGGAAATTTCCCAGAAAGCAAAGGAGAAATTGCTGGAAAGCAAAAGGGAGATTTCCTGGACAGGAAGAATGAGATTTCTTGGGAAATAATTTCTTGCTTCCGAGGGAGGGGAAATTTCCTAGAAAGCAGAGACAAAATTCCTAGAAAACAATGGAGGACTTTAGAAAGCAACAAGGAAATTCCTTAGGAAGCAAGGGAGGCATTTCCTGGAAGGCAATGGGAGGCAAGTGTCCTGCAAATGGACAGGGAAATTTCCTGGAAAGTGATAGGGGGATTTCTCAGGAAGGAAGGGGGAAATTTCCTGGGAAACAACAGGGCAATGTCCTGGAAAACCATGCAGGATTTCTAGTAAGCAACAGGGAGAAGTTCCTGGAAAAGAAGGGGAAATTTCCTCAAAAGCGTAGGGGGGAAGAGGCCAAAAGCCCATGCTTCAGCCCCGATGAACACCACCCGAAGCCTTGGCTAAGAGATTTGTAAAACTCCTGCAAATCTGGGGGGGGTTTGGTGTGTTTTACTGCTCCCCGCAGAGCTCAAATGGGTGCTTGGGCCACACGTGACCTGCCTGATACCATGGTTATTCACTAATTTTCCTCTAATTTAATACAAAAATCTACATAACCTGCACCACACTGGTCCAAGGCACCAGCTCACCACTTTCATCACGGGCAGCTGGGCCCAGGACCCGGGTTACTGGAAACCAGCTGTAGCCCGGGCCAGGTGCCGCTTCCCCTTTCTGGGGTGGGGGATGTGCTGCTGCTGTGCAGCGGACACCGGGACCCCGCTCCCACCTCTGCCTGCTCCCTGCCTTTCTTTTGGGGTTTGGCATGGCCAGCGGGGACCCGCACAAGGGTTCCTCCCTTTGCAAGGGTGGTGCCAGCCCTGAAATGCAGACATGGGACTGATGGATGACCCTGGGGTTGGTTTTCCTCCTTTTTTTTCCCCCCTCTTTTTTTGCATAAAACTGGAGTGCTGCCATGCCGGACAGCAGGGCCAGAGACGCTCGTG